ATACACAATCTTTAAGCGTCTTTCAGTTTTAATTTTTGAGAAATCTTGTGTCGCGAATCTCTCTCTGTCTCTCTTTTTTCACAGGACAACATTTGCAAGAAAATAGATCGAAAACTCGAAAAACACTCTACGCGCGTCTTGTGCATTCTATCGTAATTTTTCCTTTTATTTTTGATCAAGTATCTAGCAATTGTATCGAGAAATTTACGTAACAGCTAACTTCCACTTTCGCGATCGGCAAAGAGGAGCCGCTTTCTCGATACACTCACCCACTCGATCTCGGGGTCTTTGTAAAGTCGCGCAGTAAGTCGAGAATGAAGATACCAGAGGCTTCTTGCCTTTACCTCGCCTGAAGAGGCAGAAATAAGAGGCCGCGGAACCTTCGAACACGCTCGAGGAGCCGGAAGAGTCTCGGGTTCCGAGGAACTTTAAGGAACAATTGCGCACTATACACCGCAATTCTTATTTGAGTCGTTGTATATTCGCTCGCGCAACACTCAATACTGCCAAGTTTATTATTAGATTAGATCTTACCGAGAGAGAGTTCTACGTTCTCTTTCTCCATCAGCATTTATGAAATGAAAACAGCGCGACTTGGAGAACAGCTCTCCGTAACTTGCTGCAGAAATAAAAGCACCACATCGAAGCAAATATTAATTTTTATCCTTTTCTCTCTCGTACTTTTCTTTATTCTATTAATCGGATCACTCGATAAATTGTCCTTATAAACAAGTGATTGGCCGTCCCTAAAAATGTACATACAAAATTCATCCGATCGAAAGTCGATAAAAGGAGGAAGAATCGACAAAAAAAATTGGCAGAAATTCTCGTCCTTGAAGACTTTGTCCCGTAAATCGAGGGTGAAGATCTCTGACCGTATATAGAAAGAGGACTGAAATCCGATTCGGATCCGATTCCGAATAACTTTCTAGTAACGTTTCCGCCAACGTTTCTCTTGCTCATCTCTTTGTTCACGCACCGCTCTCTTGTTTCCCGGGTAATTAAACGCGGGGGTCGATGTTAATTAAATTATCCCGCCGTGTTTGACGCGTGATGTGACGGTTCCCCGACAATGAGAGATATGTCGCGCCATATATAATCAATACAGTCATCCGATTATTTATTAGTTCGCGAAGCGTCACTAAAGTCACTGTAGATAAACAAAGTACCGCAATCCATAAGACTCGATAGGTCTGTTTGTTTTGGCTACACTGGCCACACAATAGTGCGGAGGTTGTCTTTTCTGCTCGACATTGGAAGAAAAAAGATTACCTCTGAAGTAGTGTAGCCAGTGTAGCCAAAACGAACAGACCTAATGTATACCCAGACAGCACACAATATTTATGAATAAAGATTCATAAATATTTAGGAATGTATATTTTTTTCAAATATTATATAAATATTTTGAAAATCTTTTATAAAAACCTTTATTTAACATATTATTAAAACATAGATTAAATATTTCATATATTTATAGTAATTATTTTTTAACTAAATTGTTAATTCTTTCATTTACCGCTAGGTGACGTATTTTTCTCGTATTTGATTTTCGTCGTGAGACTTATATAAAGCTGGCAAAAACGGAAATTAATAAAATTAAAAATATCAAAATTATTTCTATTTTTGAGCTACATTCTGCAACAGAATGTCTTTTAACAAGTAAATTTACGATGTACATCAGTGTGTACGTAAATTTATTTGTTAAACTACTCTGTTGCCTAAGTATATTCACACAGTGTATGTTATAATTTTATATTCTATTTTAAAATAAATATCTGATAAGTTAGTTATAAACATTTTTTACACATTTTCAACTTTTTATAAATGGTTAATAGAGTTTGAAAAACAACAAAAACATCTAATCGACCAAATTTTAAATTGGACTATATCAACCGATCGTTTTAATTAAAAAATCATTGATTATCTTTTTAACTCATGATTTCCTATTGAGTATTTATTAAAGAAAATATAAATTTAAAAAAATTTGTATCATGATTTAATAAATATATTTATAATATTTACCATAATATTTATCGTGAATATTTTCTGATATTTATGATAAATATTTATAAAATATTAAAATTAAATATTCTATAAATATTTTATAAATATTCTGTGCTGTCTGGGTAAGATTTGGCGTCAAAATGGCGTCAAAAAATGCACATAATGCACACTTTTGTAACGTATGTACACATTAAGTGCAGTTTTCTAATCTGAAAATTGCACTTTCTTTTATTTTCAAAATACATTCATGCAAATATTTAATTTGAACGACCCGCGTGTTGACGTTAAAATGGCGGATGATTATGATACTTGGTTTATCTAGTAACTTTAGCGTCACGCGGTGTGATCGCGCAAAACACGGCGACAATGAATTCGCCGTAAAGTTAATACAAGGATTATATGTATATATGCTTCATCGTTATTTAGTTACAATGCCTTTGTAGAATGTGCGGAATTCGACGAGGGATTCAAGTTTATCCATTAAGGAAAAATTTTTAAAGTGCCTGGGCTAACGAGACGGCTATCGATAATCACTTCCGCTTCATCGCGCGCATTAATGAAACAGAAGAGGGAATTCAGAATATCTTGGAATTTCAACCTGGTTTTTTTCCTTCAACTTTATACGCGCGGCATTTCAACTGTCGCGCCCGAATTGTATTATTCCTTTGCTGATAACAGTCATAACAGTTAAAATGACGATTCGCCATTTCGAATGGATGCTCTCAGGCGCCGTTTAGCTCTTCCAGCCTCTTTCGCTTCGCTTTCACCATTTCGCTACCGGGAAGTATTTCTTCCCATTTCGCCTCTCTCCCGTCGGGAGCGAAATTCCTCTCGTCAAATGGCGGGAACAATTAACGAAATAGCGCTCGAATCGGCACGACCACTAAATTTAATCGCGGCATTATCGTTACGATTTTAACATGACCATCGAAAGATGTCACTTATCTCGTTTTTAAGGATCTCTTGAAAGGGCTTACTTAGTGGTATTATTTTCTGCAAGAGAGAAATTGGGACTATCCTCTTAAACAAAATACATTATATATATTTATACATATTTCGTTGACACAAAATGGAGGAGAATCGTTACAAGGGGACGAGAGTAAGTTGAAATAAAATTATTAAGTTCCTTCATCCGTGAAGAAAAATTGTTCAAGAGTTTAAAAGTCCCTCCGTCTCTTTCATTTTCAGTTCTCATTTCCATTTCGAGCAACCGGGGGAAAGAGGCGCATTTCACCGTTTCGCATTCGATATTTACTGCTCGGCCGCGAGACGCAATTTTACAAGAGCACTCCTTTAAAGGCGCCGCCTTTAAGGACGCCCTTTCGCGCGCGCAAAAGCGAATGTCGGCGGTTTACCGGCAGGCTATTCGAATATTTCTATCCCCTTCGAGCTCGACAATTCGTATCCTCGATGAAAACGTTGCCGACTAAACGAGTCCGTGATTTCGAGGACGAGGACGCGAAGAAGTGGAAGAGAACGAACGAACAAACCTTTTAGTGTCGCCATCGTTTTTTTTTTTTACCATCCTTATTTGTTTCTTTCTCCCGCGAGATTTTTGCTGCATTAGATACTCATTTATGCGATATCAGGTATACGTAGAAGGGAAAATTCGATGATAATTTGCGAGCACGTGAAAATAAATTGAAGAGAACGTGACTTGACAAAGCAATCGTAATTTTCTACTTATGAATTTATGACAAATGTGCAAAATCCTTTTCTAGATTACAGAAAGTCAGCTTTTCTGCAACATGTTTAGTATTATATACTTTTCTATATTTTGCTTAGAATTCGAATTAAAAGTGAATAATAAAAAACATAATTAAAGCAAAAATTGAGATAAATGGAAACATTTTTTTGATAAAATACAAGTTATACGGCCGAGCGGCTTGACAAGATCGTATCCGTATCGTTTGCGTTTTTCATGAAACGTCGCAGTAGCGATTTTAAAGATGCGAGAAAAAATTGCAACTCGCGCACGGTTTCGGGAAGGGCGAAAGGGGAGGTCAGTCGATATTGGATTCGAAACGTCCGAGATCGGCAATATCCTTCAGGCCTTTTGCGTCCCTCAACCGTGAAAGGCCTCTGTGTGCCGGGGATAAAGCCACGAAGGAGTGGAAGAGGTTTCTGCATGCGGCGCCGCACGAACGCGCTCGATATTCCGATATCCTGATATCGGGAGTGTTTCTCCTCACGACGTCCTCGCTTCCTCCTGGAATACACACCCTCTCTTCATGGAATTTATTATCCGCCTTCAACCTGCGCTCTCACCATATCGAGAACTCCCTGGGGATCACCTTACCGGGGATTCGGCAGTTTCCACAGTGGCTGTGTTTTTCCATGGGACTCTAGACAGAAGGAAAATCCTGATCCACCTGGGATGTCTAATAGTTCTTTCGTTTGTGGGAAAATTCACCAAGTCTCGTAATCGTTTATCATTGCGGAGGTGATAAAAAAACCTACGCGGGTGGAAATAGCTATTTTTCAAAACAACGTGTCACGAGTAGTTTAGTCATTATGATTGAGATCGCTTGGAATATATTGTTTTGTGAGTTACTTTTTATATTTAATACGTGAATTTCTGCTGGATTTTAAGGGGATGCTAACTGTGTCTATTTTATCGATAAATATTATTTTCATTTAGCTATTTATTGGGTATACAAAATGAAAAATTCTTTAGTTTTTTTTACCGTTTAGCTTAGATTGACCTAATGCAAAAGACCGATAAAAAAACTGTAATTATTTAATTTTTTTTATATACACATATATAGTAGTCCAGATTTGTTATTATGAATACTTTAATTCTAGTAAAGGATGTTTCATCCTATATAGCCAATAAAGAGTTAAGTGAAAAATAATATTTGTCGATAAAACAGACATAGTCAGCATCCCTTTAAATTATTCTCAATTCTATTTGTGGCTTGCTCAACTATTTATCATATTGCGATTTGAAGTACCTACTGGTGTAACTCATTGCTCTATTTGTTTTGTTGTTACAGAGATTCGCCCCTCGATATTATTCGCAAGCTGATGCACCTTGGTGGATTCAGTTTTACATCGGCTCGATCGAAGAACCGCAGTCTTCTTTTAGCCACGGTGAAGGGTCAGCGCGCGTGGCTAGTGGGTCAGCGAAAAATGCGATAGAAACGAAGGACTTGGATTCTGCCGCGAGAGAAAGAAGAGAACGAGAGGGAAAAAGAGAGGGGAGTTTATCGCCGGATGAAAGAGCACCATGTGCTCAATCGTACCAGCCTGGCGGCGGTGGGCTGCCCTTCTCGGCATGATGCTCCTGCTGTTGCTATCTTGGGGAACGGGCGCGGCGGAAGGCTGCCCAAGTATGTGCGCATGCAAGTGGAAAGGCGGAAAAGAGTGGGTAGAGTGCGCGAATCGTAGCCTCAAGGGATTACCGCAGGGCGCCCGAGAGGAAACACAGGTGCTCGACCTTTCTGACAATCAGTTGGTCAACCTGCCGGCGGAGTGTTTCTATGCACTTGGCCTAGTTAATCTCCAACGGCTCTATCTGGGCAGATCCCACATCGTCCAAATTGCCTCCGAAGCATTTGTCGGATTGGTCGGCCTGGTGGATTTGGATCTGTCTGAAAACAAAATCGAAGAGGTGCCCACAGATACGTTTGCCTCTTATCCAAGTCTAATGAGACTTATATTAAACGGAAATCCGATTAAAGAGATTCGCCAGGATGCGTTTCGCCGCCTGGTACACTTAACCAATCTAGAAATTAGCAAGTGTGAAATAAAAACCATCGAGCAAGATGCTTTCGAGGGCCTCCAATCACTAGAGTGGCTTCGACTGGACGGAAATCAACTTATTCACGTGCCTGATCACACTCTGCCGCTAGGAGGAAATCTCAGAGGATTGACTCTTCATAACAATCCGTGGCAATGCAACTGTAAATTGAGAATAATGCAGGCCTGGCTGAAGGAATCTGCTCCAGCAGCCCCGCAAGAGTCTGAACCAGTCTGCGAGTCTCCGGACAGACTACGAGGCAGACAAATCAAGAGTCTCAAGATTACCGAACTGGCTTGCCTGCCTCATATCGATCTTCAAAGTCGTTTAGATATTTATGAAGGAGGAAATGTTACCTTGACATGCAATGTCCACGCAATACCTACCGCCAAAGTCGTTTGGTGGTTTAATGGGGAACCATGCGAGTTGCAAAACGAGAATGACTCTATAGTGAATGGTATTTCTGCGTTTCCAAGGTAAGTGACTTTTATATTTCGGATCTTTGATTCGAATCTCTACATATGTATGTCTCGTATCGAACCGTATTTCCTCGGATTGGTTGCAGATATATTTACCGACAACGAGGCGGGACCAACATGAGCAGCACATTGTTTCTTTATTCAATCGAGTCACTCGATGAAGGTACTTACAGTTGCATCGCAGAGAACAGTGCGGGTTCTGCAGTGGCAAACCTCTCTCTCTTTGTGCTCTATCGCGAGAAACCCACCGTGGAACCGCCCTCCGACAATCCTGGTTCCGGCTACGTGGCTGCGATAGCCGCGGGCGCACTGGTGGGCACTCTCTTGGCGTTGGGTTGCTTGATAGGAAGCGTGATATATTGCGCGAGAAAACGACGTCGCGACCGGAAGCGCAACTCAAAGGCCCTGGTGACCCAGAGTAAATCGGTGTTACCGATCACGAAGGACACCACTAGCAGTTCCTGTCGGAAGGGCAACGGCAGCCTGATCGGTTTAGAGCATCAACAGATGGTTTCATACACCGAACGAGAAATCAGCCGAGCGGCCACTTTGGAGCGCCGAGAACACTCCAGAAGCACGTATCCGGTGGCGAGTCCGGTCTCCAAGTACCTGACCGAACCGGATTTGATCAATGAAGTGCCCGAGAGCACCGAGGTGGGCTACGGCCAGCTGTACGGACGGCATCATCAGCGAGTCGATGGCGCTGATCGGCAGATCTTGGAGTACGACTCAGGTTATCCATTGCAGCCTGATCTACGACCGCCGCCCGTTTTACCGCAGATGAGCTACCTAGATCAGGACGGCTATCCATTGAACTTCGGCCTGCCCAAGATTTCTTTCACCGCCAGCACTCTGCCCAGGCTTCGGCAACGGATGTCCGAGGCTGGCTCGGCGGCTGCGCCGGCGGCCAGATATTCGCGCGAAGCAGAATTCCTCGCGAGATCACCGGATACGATCCCGTTTTACCGCGAACCGACGCCAGGTACACCGCCGAGGGTTATCCCTATCCGGTGCACCAACAGCAACAACCGCTGCAATCGACGATGCAGCCGCCGCCGCCGCTTTCGATTCAGCCGGTCGAGCAACCGATTCAGCAACAGCTGCCCATTCAGTCACCGGTCTCGCCGGTCGCTGTCTTCCCGGAAGTACCCTTCATACCGTCACCTCCAGCGGCTTACAGGGCGAGACCACCCCTTTGTCGCCGAGATCGCTTCTCGGAAAGACTGCTCGCGAGGCCGCGGCTGCCGCTGCTGCGAGGGCAGAGGAACTGCAGCCACCGAATCATCCGGAGAGTCCTGATGAGGGCTATGTGGGAGACGCGATGGACGTCTGAAAAATAGCCACTGGCGATAATAGAAATAATCGTCAGGTTTGAAAAGCGTGGAAGATTTCTGCTCTATTGTTGAATAAGATTGACGTTCACTTTTTGCAAGTCTACTCTCGACCTTCGTTTTCTATGGACCTATACGGAAGGAAAGATTGGAAGAATCGATTTCTCTGCAAAATCTACTGCCGTTTAATTTCCTCGAAAGTGGAAAAATAAGAAAAGATGATACTATATACACAGTTATGCACATTTTTTTGATGACATTTAAAAAAAAACAGCTATCATTTACTGCCTGATCTTTATCAAAAAATTTTATCCTGAAATAACATTAATTTTAAGAATCAATGATTACGCGCACAAATATTCGATGATCTTTTAACTCTATCCTAATCGTTTTATTTATAAAAAAATAAATTCATTATTTTCATGTATAAATTTCTACGTATATCATCAACGAAACAATCATTACGGGTTAAGAAAGAAGATTTCTTCTCATTCTTTTTGCTCAACCTATTGATCCAGCGCAGCAAGAATAACGCGATGTACTTTTCATATAAAATTTTTACAATCTTCTTTCACACGAGTCAAATGTCATGCATGAAGACCTTAATGAAGCTACGAACAATATGAATTACCGGCATCAAGGAGGAAATCTGTCCTCGTCACGCTACCAGATTAATTCGCAGAGGATAACAGGGTCCAGGATGTGATTGGCGGAACAGGGCCGCCAGAGACGGCGCGAACAAAGGATTCGTCCTGGCGGTAGAGATGTAATAGATTAATCAGAAGGCATGTCTCGAATGTCATCGCGGTGCACAATCTCGTCAGGAGGGATGACGAAGGAGATGTTCGCGCTAGGACGAGACAATCCTCGCATTCGAGGGAAATCGACTCCGAAGAATTTATGCGGATCGCGTTTAAATGCAGAGAGAGAGAGAGAGAGAGAGAGATGTGTGTGTGTGTGTTTTCGGACATCAAAATGGCGGTCGAATTTATTTAAACGGCGTGTCGCGTTTGTGAAATACGACGTCGTTCTTTGGACACGCTCCAAGAAACGTTCGGTCGCGTTGAAAAGGAACCAAGATGGCGTGACTGATCCTTAAAGTGATAGATAAATGTTTGGCGGACTCGATGGAGTGAAACGCGTCTCATTGAACCCCCGAAGGCGCGCTTTTAGCGTTGCACGAGCAGAAACGTGACCGGTGCTCAAAGCGGCCGCTCCGGCAGGATCCGCCGAGAAAATGTGAAATTAATTAAATTTAATTGTTCATGTCGAATCCCTAATCGTTAAAGTTTGCGACGAATCGATAATTGCGAGATGAGCGAAAGATATAACGGTAAGAAGAGAGAATTGTCCTTTTTAATAGTAAATATTATAGATACTTGGGGAAATATTTATATATTATGGGGTTTAGTATATATGTTCTGTAAATATACTATTCTCATATAAAATTGTTTCGCGGTACCTTAAACAGATTATTATTATATCAAAAAGATATAAACTTATATAACACTTCTTTTTTTTTTTGGATGTGAAAATGATAGAAACGATCTGTACGCTTTAGTCAGTTCTTAGATTACTTTGATATTGTTTACGGTTATCACTAGCGTTACACGTTATATATATATGTATGGGATGCTTGTGATTCAGAAACCTGCTCAAGCTATTCTCGCATCCTTCTAGCACTTTTATTTTAACTTTTACGGAGAGGGATATCGTTTATTTCGATTGCGTGAGAACTCTCGATCCTGGCGTTTCAGGCGGAGACGCAATTATAGCAATTCTGCTGTAGTGATAATAATGTTAACTTGGTGTTTAAGACTGGTGAACTGTGCGAGATTAAGAGGCCGCAATGGCACTCGACCTGATGTACAGATACCGTTGAACATACAGGGTGTATTCTGAAAAAACTGTATTTACCAGGATCGAGTCAGCGAAAAATTTATCTTGAAAAAAGATTCATTAATTTTGCTGTTATTTCTTTTAAAAGTAGATCAGAACTTGAGAATTAAAGTTCTGAACATAATATATAGTTTAAGTTAAATGAATTTTATTTCTCACAATTGTAGAAATTTATATAAAATAATTTTTTAAATTTATTTTTTATCGCAAAAAATTAAGTTTATATTTTATTTTTTTAAATCTCTTACAGATTAATCTCCTGGGAATAGTATACGTCTTTTCTGGGTCGCCCTGTATTTCTATATACATATGCGTATATATAAATATATACACACATACACGTACACACAAACACAGATAGATATATACATATTATATGGCGCGACTAAACATTTAAGGAACAAAAACTGGTGAAAGTAGTTATTTTTCAAAGGTGTCTTCGAAATTTTGCGATTCGAGCTGGCTTCCCTCTCTTAAATAATCAATCTACGATTAAAGGAAAACTGGTAAATAAGGCCAAATTCTGTCTCGCGATGGAACCTAAACTAACCTTAAAAAAGTCTTACAATCAAAGAAAGACGAAAATAACAGTCATTTATCCGAGAAGTGGTGGGAAAGCTTTGGGAATAGCGCATTTATAATATAATATAATATATTATAATATAATCAACTGTTAAGCTTTAATGTTGATTTATACATATAGAAATTAATAATTTTTCAACAATAATCCTAAAAAATCCTAAATAATCTGAAGAATACAAAGACATAAATTGGCAAGCTAGTATATGTGCACATATATAGGTGCGCATCATACATAACATAGATGTAACATCAGTGGATGTAGATTTACGAAAAATATTAACTGTAACAAAATGAATATATGTAGATAATAGCATAAAAGTGATAATATTTTTCGTATAACCTACGTTATACATAACGTGCACACCTATATGTATGTGCACATAAAGTTTGACAATTTATGTCTTTGTATTTTTCAGATTATTTAGGATTTTTAAGATTATTATTGAAAAATTGTTAGTTTCTATGTATGAACCAACATTAAAGATTAACAGTTTATTATATCATTATATTATATTATAAATGCGCTATTTCCAAAGCTTTTTCTTTGAGCGTAAGAAAGACCTTTTAAGGTTAGTTCAGGTTCCAATTGCGAGGCAGAATTTGGCTTTATTTACCGGTTCTTCTTCCGCATGAGAAAAAAAGTCATCACTCGTAAAGAATCACAATGATGACCTACAAAATGCTGATGAGTTGATGACAAATTACGTAAGCAGTTGGATACGCGTCCGGGAAAGAGCATCATCGAGAAACCTGGAGATTCTTTCAGAAGTACCCAGGCGACGAGGAAACTGGTTTCCTTTCCGTTTCGCCGTAATCACGACGCGATTCACGGATGAACAGTGTTTGCTTTCCAGTCTGGCGATTCGCAGGATATAGAATTCTGCTTGCTTCGCCGTCGAGATAACTCGAAATTTGCGTCTTCGCTTTTGAAAGTTTTATATATATATATATATATATATATATATATATATATAATGATATTTTATCCCCGCGTTCTAATTTATTTATTCGCAAAATTTTTAAGCAAAAAGAATATTCGAGACACGAAAAGAGGAAAAAAAAGTGCATCAAAAAACATTGTGCATCAAATCCGTTTGTTTCTAATTAGTTGAAATTGGCCGTTTTAAATTAAATTAAAAATCAAGCGTTCTTTTTACCGGCGAATCCAATAAAATAAAAAGAGAGAAAGAGAGAGAGAGAGAGAGAGAGAGAGAGAGAGAGAGAGAGAAATGATATGTTAAAATAAAAAATATTATTCTTTTAATTAAACAAATATTTTTATTAAAGAAGACTTATCGCGTAAATATATACATATTTTGAAAGGAATGCAATTATAAAGTTTCCGTTAAAAAATCGGAAATAATCGAGGTGCATTTAAATTCGATTGTATATAATGTTTTCGGGATCGCGCACTAACTTTCGAAACTCTGTATATTGAATTTTAGAAGCGAACGCAATTTTATACGCATGCAGTGACGAAATTCTGCAAAGGGGAGTTTCGCATTCGTCGTTTAATTAGAACTTTTTAAACGAGCTCGCTAACGAGGATAACTTCGATATACGTGGTGGTCAATTTTGTGAATTTCAATTAATCTGCTGTGAATGGGCGAGCCATTAGGCTGTGTTTTTGACAAAATGCAGCAAAAATGCGTTAAATGACGATCGTATTAAAATATTCGTTTAATCAAATTCGAATTCGATGGAAATTGTTAGATATTCCATCAAAAAAGTTTTGCAAAGTATTATACAACATACGCATACATATATATGCACATATACATATGCTAAACATTTTTATCTAATTTTTACGTCTCACAAATAAGTATTTATATATTTTTTTTTCTCTAAGCTTTTGTAAAATGAATAAAGAACGTTTAATATCGCGTTTTAAGCGCTAAATGTTTCAGAATTTAAATAATTAAAAGTGTGTACAGACCGTTATATTTAATCATCATTTCCTTAAAGGACTTCTTAAAGAACTTCTTTAAAAGACTTTGTGTAGCTGCGGTTTGAATAAATAATATCGTTAAATCGAATTAAATTCCGCGAGAAAATGTAAATATATATTTTTTAGAAAAACATTTTTTATAAAAGTAATTCATTATTTCATTTACTAATTTGAACAGAAATAAGAAAGAATTTAGAAACGAATTGAATCTCTTTTTATTATCGATATTCTTTAAACAGTACCGCACGATTTGCTGTCATATTTTTCGCATAAGCGAAAATTTTCATGAGCAAAAATTTTTTAGATCTCTCTCTCTCTCTCTCTCTCTCTCTCTCTCTCTCTCTCTCTCTCTCTCTCTCTAGATGTACTTCATGCATATTTATTTCGCGTCGATTAAAAATCCTGCAAGAGAAAAATAAAAATGCAACACAATTGGAAACAATTTCTCTCTCGGGGAAAAAAGGAATCTAAACTAGGAAGTTTTTTGAGCTCTCTTTTCCCTTGTTTTCACTTCGACGTTGTTCTTCTGAATCGTTTTTTCGTAGATAAAAATTTATCATCGCAATCTGTCACTTCTTTCGCGCACACCGTATTTATTTCGCCGAATTGACGAAGCAACCCGATTAAACGCGGGAACAAGAAAAAAAACTGGCAAAAGTTTAACGATCTTGCTCGCAGGCGGTATTGCATTCGCTCGTTTGCGGTTCGTCCGCGAGAGTTAAATGGATTTTATATTTTTTTCACCTCGCGCGATCCCTTTTTACTTCTTATTCGTCCCTCTTGCGTCTTGCGCGCGCATGCGCGCGCTAATTATTATAACCACCGAGACCGCGAGCTTGTTTAGTAATAACGATCTCACTTTTTGCGACAATGGATCAGAGATTTTCCTCGAAAATTCGCGAAGACACATTTTTCGAAAAATGTAACTATTTCACAAAAGAGAAGAAGATAAATAACACTAGTTTATACAAAATATTTTTCTCGATTATTTTTAACCAGACAAGATGTTTCTTATAGATTTTTGGATGCTGAAAACGATGATGCAATTTTCACCAGTATATCAGATTTCCGAAATAATTGAGGTTTAAAATGCAGAAATGACTTTTTTGGGATATTTGAGATTTTTTATCAAAAAGGTTAACGTTATCTGTTATTGTTTATCCTATATAAAATGCTTTTTTTTTATTTCGATATCTTTTAGTCACGTTAGGAAGGATTTACATACATAGATTTAAATACATTTTGCTGAGAGCAAATATTCCACCTATAATGATGAAGTTACATATAAATTATTAAACTCATATATAATTTGTAGTTTTAGGACTATCGATATATAGTATAACTTATTATAATGCATTCCATTAAATGCATATTTAGAAATAGGATGTCTCATTTTAATTGTCTATCTTGAATTTTTTAAACAAATATATTTTTGAAAAAAATAGTGCAGACTAAAGTTGTATAATCTAAAGGGGATCAAATAATGGTAAAATTAATTTTGGAAAAAAATAATTCTTTTAAAAGAAACTTTTTTTTAGAAGTATCTTTATATAAGTAGTTCACAGCTTTAATTTTTCATAATAGAGTTAAAATGTAAAATATTAAAATAATGCATTTTATAGGGAATATATTCATGATATTTAATTAAACTTTTCAGTTAACATTAACCTTTTTACAAAAATACTTCAAATATTGCGAAAAAGGTATTTTTACACATTAAATATCAATTATTATGGAAATGTCATGTGCTAATAAAATTTGATTTGCGACATCGTTTTCAACATCCAACAATTTATAAGATATGTGTTTAATTATATATTATTATATATTATAATTATTATAATTATTATATTTTATTATCATATTATTCTAATTATATATTTTTTATTATTATTTATTATTATGTATTTGTTATCATATTATATATTATTATATATTTTATTAATATTTTAAAATTGGCAATTCGCATTTTTAGAATTTCGATATAATTGATAATTTTTCTTTCTTGAAGAGTTTATGACTTTTTTCAGAAGAAAGTTTGACACCTTGCCTGGTTTAAAATAATTTTTGGCTGTAAAGTAGTGTAATTATACGGATAGAGAGAGTCATCTCTCTTCTTTCTTTGTATAAATTTCGTAGAAATTGTACCCTAATCTCCTTCGACTTGATATTTTCGACGTATGTGCAGGTGCGAGGAATATTATTCATTTCTCGGAGAAACAAAATTCCGCTTCGTTAAATCGGTCGAATTAAATTTCGCAAGGAAATCATACGCGCGGAATTTCATCGTATAAAGGTTTAACGTCCCGAGATCGGTCGTGAATATTAATCGGCTTTTCCCCTCCTCCTGTCGACTCTCGCGCGGTGAAACATCACGGCGTGGAAAATCTCGCGAGAAAGGCTGGGAGGGAGAGCTCGTCCTATTAACTTCCTTCGCATTCGCAATGCGCTACGATGCTTTCCGGTAAATGTAATCACACGTCGATGCATTAATCAGCCGTCCGACGGAACTCCCGTAATTCCATCCGTCGGATGCACGTCAAAAGTTAAGGATAGCAACGACAGACTCTCCCGCGTTTCTAGCTAAATGGAAAACATAGCCCTCCCGGGGGATCTCTTTCGCTATCGCGGATATACCATTGCGTTGCATAAC